TGCGGTCACCTCACCTCCAGAGGTGACCGCAAATTCCCTTGGCCAGCAGCTACATAGGCCGCCCACAAGATGTCACAAGAATGGAACATTTAGGACTTCTGCAAATCTGTGTTACCCGTCCTCTACCTCTTTTGGGGGGAATTTGGGCTTATATGTCGCATTGTGAGTATGCCCTGAAATGTGCAAAATGAGAATGAGCTTCCTGCTAGAACATGGCCAGATGTGAGGACACGTTCTTGTCTTTTTGACATTTCCAGAGTGCTGTGGGGAGGCAGTCAGTAACAGGGGACGGATTCTTGGGTGACATGAGCAAATACACCAATGCTGTCAGAAGCTCAGGGCATACTCACACTATCACCAATAATCGCAAATTAGGGCATACTGCAATAACCCATGCCATATATCTCCTGGAACTGAGGGCCCTCAGAAGGCCTACTTGGCCGCCCTCAGCCCAGGCCAAATAAGGGCAGAAAACGCCCTTCATGATTTCAGGGAGCCGCAGGCCGTGCCAATAATCATGACTTCGGTCAACTGTCAGTCAACCCAACAGTCAAAGTCCAAGGGTASCCASCCCAGGCCGCAGGTCGAGCACACACATTTCTTTGTATGCAGGTACCCAGACAGCATCTGTTCCAAGGGAGAAGTCTGCAACTGTTCAATCCGGGCGTTGAGATGTGAGTCAATCTGGACGACTGGAGGAAAGGCACCCAAGGCCAGACTGTGACGCCCAACCTCACGCCCAGCGCGACTTCCTGATCGGAGTGGGATGTGGGCCTGGAAGTGCGAAAAAAGGGTGTGCCAAGGATTTTTAGGGGAAGTCGGGGAGTCTTAAGGGTATGAATGCAATTAGGCGAATGAGGGGTGCGCGCGCAAGGGTCTCACAGTCCGAAGGGGACGGGACACTGTGGGCGACGGGTTACGGGAAAATCCCTCCGTGGTGGAGATGGTCCCGAATAGTTAGGCCGTCGGGGGCTGCCACGTGGCGCAGACCGTCTCGTACCTGGGTTGGGCCTTTGGAATTCCGGAGTTCTCTGTTCGCCGCTACGTCRGCAGTTCACGCAAAACGTATTGGGCCAATAGGGGGCTATGGCCGGCCACGGAACAACACTGAGTTGATGATACGGGAGAAGAAGGCGGAAAGGAG